TAAAAAATCATTAAAAACATACACTGCACCCCGAGCTAACGAATATACGCTAGAATATTACGATCATAACATCATCAGAACTAACCAAGATCAATTCTTAGACGACGACCGCTTCGCTAACCCACAAATCACAGAAAAATTTTTCATTAAAACACCATATGTATTTACACTCAATATATTTGATCGCAAATTTGACCACATCATCTCAGAAGCACTAACAGACACGCAAGCCTACGAAAGTTTTAAAGAACGCTTCCAAATATTTTCACTAACCTTTCATTTCCTTGCACCACATGAAAGAGATCTGCACTGCTCACACGATATTATTTTGCGCACTAAACAAACTCACACATATACATATTATCGTTTTATCCAAAATCACTTCGACCTACACACTCCCTCCAGACAACCACACCACCGTTTTCAATTCATCAATTCCAAATACACCTCACCATTCTTTCTTAACTTCACATATTGCATTAAAGATACTAACCTTCATGGTATTCTTCGAAATTATGATCCCATAACCCAAATGTCTATTTTTTGTCCCATCACCAAGACCTTCAACGCAGAAGAATCCCGACCCTTCCTTCTCCCACACGAATTTGTTCAACCCATAGAAATCCCCATTTTATAATTCATCCACAACACTAAATTCAATCACAAATTATATAATCTAATCCAAAACACACCTTATGAGTTTGCAGTTGGCACTGAAGAACTAACCACCATTAAAGCACTTCAATTGCTTTGGCCACTGCTTCAAACTAAAAATATCATCCGCATCTTAGCTAAATTACTAACAACTTCAGATCTCATCCACGACATCTTCCCCCACGGTTTCTTCCCCGACAACTAACAGGTAAATATGAATTATACATATTATTAACTAATTAAATTAAAATTAGAAACTAACCATTCATAATTCATGTCTTCTTTAGAATTTTAGCCTTCATCCAACGATCATCTGAAAAATTCACAAAAGAAAATAAAAATTGAAAACTTCTTCAAACTATTTAAAACTCTATTAATTTTTTGCACCAAACAAATCACTAAAAATAATACCAATGCAGTAATTTAATTAAAAATTTTTTTTCCAAATGCAGTAAAATCTAATAATGATGAAAATTTGTAACTTAATTTTCCCCAACAACTAGCAGTAAATTTGCATTTCTATGTAATAAATTGATAAAACGAAAATGCAGTACTAACCTTTTGATATTTCCTTTCATTCGCACAAAGATTCTATCCACACTCGCACAGCTCGCCCACGAAGAATTGTTTAAAATAATGAATTTCAGTTTCAAGCTTTCACACTCAACAACTCTAACACATGATAACAAGTTTCAAACTTTCCTTTAACCCGGTTGGAAAGGAATTATATACTAAGCAACACTAACCAACGCAGCTTACTAAACACCACAAATCATAGAATAACAGCATGACTAAGAAAAGGAAACCAACGGTACCCAAACCGGATTAACCCAGTTTAAAACTGGATAATTTATTGTTTTGAAGACTATTATAAAGTCTAAGAAAGAAATAATAAAACACAAAAAAGTCGAAAAACAAACCCATACCAAAAACAATTTGATTTTTGAAAAAAGGACACAACCAACAAAACATAAGAAAAACCACAACAAACCCAACACAAAACGTTGTCACATAACAGGACCTCTCACAAAAACCGCATGCAATCATACTCCCACTCCTGGCCTAACCCACCAGAAGAGGACGTCCTGAGCATGCTCTATAGCCGGCCTAACCCACCGTGCTACATCCACGCTTTGTGACCACACTCCTATTTTTAATAAGAGCTACTCAAGGGTGAGTAACTCTTCAAAATAACTGAACTAAAACAAAAAGCTTTTGTGAAAACAACTAACCAAAATCATAACTAAAACATTAAACTAATAAAAATTTTATAAAATGTAAATTATATCTTGCAGTATATAGATCAGCATACAACACCAAAGACGAACATCCAAAGACAAAATGACCCCACTACACTCGAAAAAGAATGGCCAACCACAATCAATATGCCGCCCACAATCACAACTCAAAGGATTTAGAGTACGACTTGACTTCGCAGAAAAGGACTTCATTGAACTAGAACAATGACCACCTCGATGTTCAAGTATACGTACAGATCCGAGTAACCAGGCATCCCCTCCACACACAATCTCCACGCCATTCCCAGACAAGGTCAAACACAAAAGAAGTTCTCTACATGAAACGGAAAAACCTGTCATAGCCAACCATTCTGAAATCAGATTTGAGTTTGTTGCGAAAACCCAGTCATTGTCTTGAGAAGACACAACGATTGAATCTGGGACTTCTCTAATAAGAAAACCCAGAAGAAATAAGATGTTCGCCAAATACCAACGTCCATCATCCATCCTTTGAATTGCAGAAAGACTATTCTAAAAAACTCTGTAAAACCCGGATGGGTGGAACCTGATCTAAACTACATTTTATGATTGGATAAATTAGATATTTTACCACTGTAAAGTATTTAATATTAACCAATCATGATCCATCTAACTAACAACCCACTTATTTGTTAGTGCTGAAATTACTTGTAATTTCAGCACCAGAGAGATTTGAATTTAACTTAGAAATTAGTTGACTCTCCAAGAAGACTTCAGCAGCCGCAATAAACCAGTATACCCTAGATCTATTGAGCCTAGCAGAGACTAGTTAAACAACCTGAGACTAGATAGTATAAGAGTAAGATTAGGATCGGTATTAGACTAAGAAGTTGCACGAATCTATCCGGCCGAAAATAAGATAGCGTGACGAGCAGACGGTGTACCCTATCCGAAATTACTCTATGAGTTATACACTTCGGTTATAACTCAATGTGTGCCTTTTTTGAAGATTTTAAGGCCATTATTTTGTTTTCGTTGTAATTTTCCTCCTCAAATATAGCTGTTAGAGGCGGCAAAGGTATTATAATGCTTTGATTCAGGGGCAGATCTAGGATTTTCTCGAGAGGGGGGGGGGGGGGGGGGGGGGAGGAGGAGTCCTTTTTTAGGCCGACCAAATTTTCCGGGCACTCCAGAACAGTCCATAAAAACTTCTTTGGACATCTTTTAAGCGACGTAGGCAATATTTTGAAGAAAAAAAACAGGCAAAAATGAAGTTTATGGCAACTTGGTGGAAGGTTTTCACCAAACAATTGCGTTCAGTCCCATTCAAAAATAGTATAAAATAGCACCGAAGTCAACTCTAGAAAAACTTCAGAGTCGGTATGCCGAAAACTGATGTGGAAAAATATTTTGATTGGTGAGAGGGTCGAATTCCTGAAAGGAGGCGTCCGTCCTCCCCAACCCCCAAATCCACCCCTGCTTTGATTTTTGATTTTCGGCTGAAAGAAACTTAGGTTAATAATTTCACAGGCGACAAAGGGGTTGGACTTCTGAAAGAAACGTGGAACCAGATCAAAACAAGTATTTATTTTATCCTATTATATTCTTGATGAACTGTCTGTGTAAAATACTTAGAACTAATTAATCATGATCCATAACTAACACTTACAAAAATTTGTACGGCTGAAACTATTTATAGTTTCAGCCAGAACAGAATCAACTTAACTTAGCAAACAGTTGTTCTTCTCCAGAACAGTTCTTGATATCTAGCCGCGCATATACCAATATACACTAGATCTGCTGAGACTAGAGATATGAAAGAAAGACTACCCGCACTAAGTAAAAAGAGAAATTAATAGATTATAAGGATTTTTATTGTCAGTCTTCATAAATTTCAAGAAGAATTGATTCTGATTGATTAAAAATGGATTAGAATGCTACTATCTTTAGAAACAAAAAAAAACATTATAATTGATTACAATCGATTATAATCAATTATTTAAAGAAAAAAAATCTTAAATTTTATTGAATTTTATCCATTTTAATGGATTATAATCCATTTTAAATAAATATAATGCATTATTTTTCAACAAACGTCATCGTTTCATTTTGTTTTGAATTGATGTTGGCTATGAAATTTTAGTTGGTATCATTGTTTTTCTTTTTTTTTAAATTCGATTTATTAAAACAATTTTTCGAAAATAAAAACTTAAAATAGTGCAACCTTAAAAAAACGCTTTTAAATGCAGAAACATGATAATAAACGTCTTGCCGTTATTGTTAACTAGGTTGAGTCAACGTCTGTCCAGGGTAGCGGCCATTTAGCCGATGGAATTTAGGCCGAAAATAAATATAATAAGTCAGGCCGATAATCATAATAATCAGTGGCCCCCACATATTATTATGATTATTATTTTTTATTCCTGGCGAGTCGATTATTCCTCCCAAGTCGATTAGAGTTCTTGGTCAATTACTTTTACTCTGGGATACCTTGGTCTCTTTCTTGGGCCTTTTACTGGGCCTTCTAGCTGCTCGGGAATTTTATTTCAGTTTCAATGGTCCGCAGTGGCAGTTTCAATGGTAAATGGTGTTCACGAAAAGAGAAGACTTTTTAAAATCACTGTATTTGAGTTTAACTTTCCTTGGGGGGATTGAACTATGCATTCTATAAAAATTTTAAAAAGTCTTTTTTGTTTATTGAAACCATATATTATTTTTTGCGGCCACTCCCGACCATAGTGTTTTTTGATCTATACAATAGTTTCAGCCAGAGAAGAATAAATTTAACTTAACAGTTGCTCTTCCTCGCTTCTAACCTCACAAGATTACCAGTATAGACTAGATCTATTGAGACTAGGAAATATAAGAGTAAGATTAGGATCTTTATTAGACCAAAAAGTTGCACGAATCTATCGGGCGAAAATAAGATAGCGTGACGAGCAGACGGTGTACCTTATCTGAAATTACTCAATGAGTGAGCCGACCCGGACCTAAACTCAAAAGGACTGAACTACAAACTGTTCAGCTCTTCATAGAAGAGCGCGGTTACAGAAAATCCCATAAATAGTTCTTTTTTTGATTAGCTAAGATTCCTGCGTGAAATGATTTCTCCTTTGTTGATGACAGGTGTGACCATGGATCAGATAGCGGATGAGTTGCGCCAAGCTTACAAGGCCAACAAAGAGATCCTGGATCACTTCAAAGAGGATTATGCTAAGAAGGAGAACCCTCTCTTCCAGGACTTCGTGGAGGAGCTGCTATTTGTGAAAAGAAATGTTGCCGGGGTCATTCCAGCAGACCAGGAGCAGTTCAATAGACTTCTGGATAGATTGTTTCAGTTAGTTAGAGATTCCTCAAATAATGAATTTGCTTTACAGGCAGCAGTTTGAAGATTCTTCAAAAGCCTCTACCCAGTTTTTTTCACATTTCAAAGCAAGTCCACGTTATTCATGATATACATTTTCTTAGCAAAAAAGACTTCAACCTAAAATTTTTTCAATTAGAAACTTGACCTTTTTATACAAATTTAACATTTAGAATGAAATCTACAAGATAGTAGTATAATATAGAGCCAGAATCCGTGTCTTTATTTTTGTGGAAATTATTTTAGACATTTTTTTTCGTCTTTTTAGAGTCTGAAAGATTTCAACTTAAAACTATTTCAACTAAAAATTTCACCTGCTTCTATACATATACAAAAAATTGCAGAATCAATTGTACAAATTGGTAGCATTGGTAGTTTCTAAATTGTCAATGATAATACTAGTTTCCGAGACAAAAAACCTTCAACTCTATTGGACTTCAACCAATCAAATCACTTTGATCAACTCAACTCTCACTTATTAGGTACCCTGTGACTTACTCCGAATACTGCTCTGTTCTCTCTCACCTACCCGTGAACAAGTTCGGATGGGGTCTCGACTCTTTCGCCAAACTCGACCTGGACAGCAACGGCAGCATATCGCCCAAAGAGGTCAGAAGCTCAACAGAACCCAATAAAAGATCACAGAAACCAACCAAAATTATGCTTTGCTTTTTTTGCAAAGTAATTCGACTTTTTCAGATTTAAACAGGGGTGCATCTAGGGTTTTCTCGAGGGGGGATTTTCGAGAGCTCTCCCAAATTCCATTTTGACCAAATGTTCTGCCCTGTAGGCAAACCTTGAAAAAGAACAGGCCAGAAAAAGGCGTATTTAGGCACTTTTTGGAAAAATTCGACCAAAAAATTGTGTTTTTTCGGCGCGCGCTCCCCCCTCAAAATTAGTATAGATTGGCGCCAAAAGCGCCCTTAGAAAAAATTTAGGGTCAGTCAGCCGAAAATGGGTATCTCAAAATAGTACGAATGGGGACCCTTTGGGTCGGCAGGGGGTCGAATCCCTGAGATTGTTTAAATCCGCTGGTTCATTATTCGTGCAAAAAAAGCACAAGCAGCCTTTCAAATATCTTGTTTCCTTGAATATTACTCATCTGGTTCTTCAGACAAATCTCGTGAAAAATGGGAATACACATGAAAGAAGGCTCGTGTGGCGTTTAGTGTAATATCGAAAAGTGTGATTTCATCAAAAATTGTGAACGAAATTGTGAAGGAAAAAGTGTGATTTCAAAAATTGGACTTTGCCTAAAACCTTAGTTGTTTCTCTACTAAAAAAAAGTAAGAAATTTTCAACTAACCAATTTTCCCAAAGAGATAAATTTCTCTCAAAAAGAACTAAAGAATCGCCGCTTCTGCGGAAACAATTATCGCGACCCCTTCTTTTAACGGAATTTTCATCTCAGATTTGATAGCGTTAATTATATGAAAACTCAAAAAGTTTCCAAAAAACGGTCGAAAGTCCTAAGAAACGTTCAAAAGACTTTTTAAAATCCATAGCAATTTTCTGAAAACAGCAGGTTACGGCCGCTAAAGCAGACAAGATTTCCAAAGCCGGGTTTTTAGATTGTGCACAACCTGAAAATTTGACCAGTGACTTTCGCGTAAAGTCAAAAAGCTTCCAATAAACTGTCAAATTTTCAAAACTTTGACTTGTTTGAAGGCCATAACTATTTTTTTCAGCAAAGTGGACATAGCTAATTAGAAATACCGGCTTTTAACAACCTGTTCATTTTATTCAACCCATAAAATCAGATTTGGCAGGATAGTTAGCGGAAAAAATCCAGAAAACGGTCAAAAATCAAAAATTTGACCATTCTTAGAATCGGAATTTTTTGTGTGAAGAAACTATGCAGTAACGGTATGCAGAAGGAATTCACGCAACCTGTAATTTTGATTCAACCAGAAATCTCAGTTTCGGGAGGGTAGTTTTCGAGAAAAGACAAAAACTATCAAAAAAACGGTCACAAAATCAAAATTTTTACTTTTCCGAGGGCCAACACATTTAGATAAACAATGGGCGTATTCGAATGAGCTTCCGGAAACCCTTTCTGAGAATTGAACCCAAAATCTCGGATATGGCGGGGTAGTTTTCGAGAATATTCAAAAAGATGAAAAAAAACGGTCAAAGAACCAAAATTTAGTGTCCGCTTATGCAGAAAAACTTCCCACTTCACATTATTTCGTTGAACCCAAATAATCCGATTTGAGAGTTTAGTTTTTGAGAACAGGCGAAAGCATTCACAAAACGGTCAAAAATCAAAGTTTGACTATTCCGAAGGCCATAACTTTATGTGCAAAAAAAATTGATATTTGGTCGCAGCCACTTATGCAGAGGTTTTTTCAAAACAATTCGATTCATTGAAACCTGAAACTCATATTTGAGTGGGTAATTTTTGAGAAAACAAAAAAAAAATCAAAAATGTGGGTAGTATAATCAGTCACACTTTTTCGAAGGCTGTAGACAAAAGGGTTAAGTAAAAAAAAACTATAAGGGAGGACGCATGCACACAGAGGAGTAAGTCTTATTTCAATTAAAACCACTTTTCTGAAAATCAGGAGAAGTTTCTGAGAAAAATTAAAACTTTGGCGAAAAGTGAAAAAAAGTTCTAAAACGAAATAAATGACATTTCAACAAACCGATTGGTAAACATACGACCACATCGAAAAGAGCGAAGAAGAGTGCTAAAATTCTGTTTATCTTAAAACGGCCAAAAATTAAGTCCTAAGTCAGATAAAAAATAGGCCGAAAAAGTTTTGGCCGAGGATTTTTTTTAGCGAAATAAAAAAAAAACAAATAAGGAAGAACGAAGTCAAGGCAAGTAAAATTACAAAATAGGCGTAAATCAAACTCTAAAAACAGCATTATTTAAAAGTACGCACAAAAAAACAACTCAATGATGTGACATCTAAGCCGACAAAAAATAAGCAGACAAATAATTGGCCGACAACTTTATTAAAAACAGAATGTTTACCTTTTTGAAAAAAAAAACAGCTCCTGGTCAGATTCGAACACAGGACCTTTGCGGTCCTGGGCATATTCGATACCTCCATGCTAAATTGGCCTAGAATCTACGAAATTTGAATACAACATGAAACAAGGTAGAGATGCAAGTATTGTGGACAAAGTTATTTACGAGAAAAAAAGCTTGTACCCGGTTGCAGTACCATTGCTTATCGCAAGGGTAGTGACTTAGCGTCGTGCGAAATTGAGGTTCAAAAATTTTGGCTCTTCAATTTGAACTTGAATCAGTTTTCAAAGTATTCTTCTATTGATTTTTACTCCCTCTCTCCGAACCTACTTTTGAAACATCTTTTTCAAATTTACAAAACCTTGTTTCATATTGTATTCAAATTTTGTCAGCCAAAAATTAGTCAACTTTATTTCCTAATAAAAGTGTGATAATTTGGTTTAGCGAATTTTTTGGCGAAATATTTTTTGTTTTGGGATGAAGAAATCTAGCATATTTGGTTGAGGACAGCCATGTTGTAGTGGTCACGCATGATATTCGAAAACGTATCGATTTTCCAATATTTGTTAAAAGGGCATTTAGTTGCTGTGCAAGTAGCACAGAATGTTACGGTCATGATAAATCGCGCAAAAACTTTTATATGAAATATCTTTTTCAAATTTACAAAAAAAAACTATTTCATTTAAAAGTTTTTGCGCGATTTATTATGACCAAAACATTCTGTGATACTTGCACAGCAATTAAATGCTCTTTTTAACAAATATTGGAAAATCGAAGCACTTTCGAATATCATGCGTGACCACTACAACATGGCTGTCCTCAACCAAATATGCTAGATTTCTTCATCCCAAAACAAAAAACGTTTCGCTAAACAATTCACTAAACCAAGTTATCACACTTTTGTTAGGAAACAAACTTGACTCATTTTCGGCTGGCGAAAACTCTCGCCTAGGTATTTCAGCATGTGTGAATTTTGGATACCATATCTCGGCGATTTAAGACCCGTAAAAATTTATTCTTATCGGAAGTGAGGGCTTTTACTTTAAGTAGGTTGGGCTAATAGTCTAATTGGACTTGAGGCGCTTGAAAACAGCTTCATGCCTAAAAGCGTCTTTCCAATCATTTTTCAGCCAATATTTTAGCTTGTTTTTGTTTTATATAAAATGCCATTATATTAGATTGGAAACAATTTATTAAAATAGTATAAAAAAGGTCAATTTCCTGTTCCTATTTCAGGTTGAAGCCGCAGTAGGACAAAGCAAGAGGAAAAAAGAGAAGTTTGAAGCACTGGAGAAAAACAACGATGGAAAAATCTCACTGGCCGAATTCCTTCACTGCTGGGAACACGAAGTCAAGGCCAAAACACTTCCATACAAGGTCAACTATTTTATAACAATTCGTCTCCCACTGCATAAATTTATACAACTTAACAATAAATCATTTTCAATTTCTGCCAAAAAAATAGATTATATTTAGCCTATCGTTGCATCTCTCGGGTTTAACAAATACACACGCGGCATAAATATGTCAAAAAGAAGCAATCAGCGGAAATCTGCGCTTATTGCAAGAAGGAAAAAAATTAAAATGCCGCAGCATTTATTATGCAGCAACTCCGCATACTGGAGTTTAAACTTGATCATGGATATATCACAAACTTTTTGTTCCGACTTTCGATACGAAAGTAACGGAATATTTGTGCTCGGGGTGGGTTTTTTTCTTCAGACAAATTTCGACTTTTTGACTAGCCATTTTTGACGGAATTTTTATATCATTTGAAAGGCATTGTTGTCCTGAGCTCAAATTTGAAAAGATATTTTACCTGTGATCGTTTTTCATAAAGTTATGGGAGTTTAAAGATAGCCATTTTGGCCAATTTGGGACAATTAACGCGCGATATATTTTATGCTTTTAATGCATAAGCGGAGATTTACTCCGTCTTAGAAATCGCTTCAAATTAGTTGAAAGAAGCTGATTTACCATAAATGATTTGTTACAAAGAGCGAATTCTATTATTTTGTGTTTATATGGCGTGTGGGATGATTTCATTTAAAAAACGTTCAATTTTTAGAAATCTTTTTTTTTTCAATTTATTTTTTTACATTTAATTTTTCATCTTATGACTGCTCCATAAACCTTAAAAGGCAGTCAGAACATTCAGGGTTTCTCCCTGATATGAGCAGTCTTGTTTAAATTTCTACTCTATACTCTATCCCGCAATTTTCTTTATTGTTTTGACCATTATTTTAGTTTTTTTGTTTTTTGTTTTCCACACCAAGTAAGGAGCCACAAATAATCATCGTAACGTGTCATTTGATATATCATAAAAAAAACCCTTAAAGTCGAAATTCGAACGAATAACATTTCTCAGTGTCGAGAAACCTGCTTGAAAATTTAGATTTTTGGTCTGATTTTGAGCCAAAAAGGTGATTGCGCAGGCTTAAAATAGCTTATTTATGATTAATTTAAACCGTGAAAACTTAGTTTTACTCAATACAGTTTGTTTTTGGAGTTTGTTTGCGCCATTTTGGGAACAACACTTTTTTTCATTTTTCTAATTAATAATCTACAAAACCTGTTTTCCTTTTCCATCTCTTTTCCACCCTCCCAATTCTTATTCATGATGCAACGAAGATTTTACAAGGTTACGTACAAAAACCAAAAATATTTGTCATGGTCTAATCAGCCCGCATGCCAATTTTTATAAAAATCTGACAATGTGAGCAGAGAAAAGATTTATAAAAATTAGCAGGTAGGGGAAACAATTATTCTTATGTATTTTAAAATGTAATTTTTTTGTGAGAAAAAATACAAATATACTAGGCAACTCACAAGGATCTCGCACGAGCCCTGAGGTTCATCGAGGCGAGACCCTGAAAACCAAAAACACGAGGATCGAGATACTAACATTCATGAAAAAATGATTTCATGTAAATCGGAATCATCTATGAAACAGATCTTAATATCATATCTGTCTTTATAACATTATGAGGCCACACTGTGCATTCTGTGAATTGTATGCGGTTTCCGCAATGAGCCAAAATCAGATTTGTCGCGGAAACCGCAACATTGCTACTTTTCTTTGATCTTTTTTGCTGTTCTGGATTCCACAAACATAAAGCTAAAACAATGTATGCTCGAAATCGCTCCAAAAATAGCGAATTAGGGAATGCGCAGCAGCATTTCCGGAATCTTGAACAGTTTGTGGAATCCACAAACAAATAATAAAATATTTAGTTTAATTTTAGGTAATGATGGTGGTGACGAACAACGCAGACCTTGGCACCACAGGGCGAAAGACAGGCTACTACCTACCCGAAGTGGCCCACCCATACCACGTGTTCACAGAGGCAGGACTAGACGTTGTCTTCGTATCCCCCCGAGGAGGCTATGCCCCTATGGACCCGAGCAGCTACGAGGCATACATGGATGACTTGATCTGCGCTAACTTCATCGAGGATCCAGAGATACTACACAAGCTAGGTACAAACGGAAAAAAAACTCACATAACTTTGTGAAGTTTGCACGAACTTTTTTGGTTCCGAAAAAATTGTTAACAAAGTTTGCAGCTTTCAGACTTATTTTCATCAATAGAGGTAACAAACACGATGTCAGTTTGGCTCTCAATTTTTAGTCATATGGAATGAAAAGCAGACAGAAACTGAACAGAAAAACAATTTCTCGGTTTTAATATTTCCAAATAAGATTGAGTTTCCATTAAATAAGAGAAGAAAAACCGGCGAATGACAAGCAGACGTGTATGATCTAGACAATAAACTTCCCGGGTTGACCAAAACTTCTTATCATACAATTTCCATATATGAGAAACTTTTTGTCATTCAAGTTCATACAATTCCATACGTACAGAAAAATGTATGAAAATTCTATGATAAGCATTTTTTCATATATGGAAATTGTGTGATAGGTGTTTTTCCATAAACCAAAAAGTTGATTTCAGTTTCTATAGTTATTTTCTGAAAAATTTTGGGTTGTGTTTGTAACCGAACAAAAGTGGCAAAGACTTTGGTTTACTCAAAGCACCAAAGATGAACGGTCGTATATTTACAATGCCTAGAAAACGGCCTGAAATGTCTTAAAGCTGTCTTTCACAAATCATATAACAAAAGTAACAAACTTTTAATTTTTGGCAAAATTTTTCAACGATAATTTTTTTTAAATTTTGAACTTCTAAATTATCAGACATTGATCTAGGCATGCATACAAAAAACATGCGTAAAATTTACATGCGTACAAATTTCAATTTGCGGTTGAAAAAAAAAAATTTTGGGGCAATTATTCAAAATTACTGGGAAAAATTTTGTGTCGCCATCAAAAAAATACCAGTCATACAATTTCCATATATAGGAACTGTATGATAAGCATTTTTTTCAAAAAACGAAAACATCGGTTTTTTTCTATCACCAGCCTGTTTTATTAGAATCAAACAGCCGCAGAAAATTATTTCGAAATTGTATGAAAATTGAAAAATGTATGAAGGCTTTTTTCCACACACTTGATGTATGGAACTGCATGATAAGCATTATTGTTGCATGGAGGTCAGCCCGGGTTCATAACGAGCAAAACAAACAAAGTGAAGGTATTTTGCCGGAAAACGAATAATGGTTTCGCAACTTGCTTGCCCACAAATCGATCGAAAACAAGACTAACTGCTGTAACAAAAAGTGATTCAATATTAAACTAATAATTTTCTTGTAATTGGGTGCCTTCAACTTAATTTGTTTGCTTTACTGTCTTTCATAAATATCTCCTTGTCATTCGTCGAAAAAAACTGAACTTCAAAATTTTATTCGCCTTTCAGAGAAAAAAATATACTAATATAAATTAGAAAGCCAAGTTTGTGGTACTTGCGAGTTAACACAAACACTACAGGCCAAACTCGCTGACAGAAAATGAGACGAAAGCCGCTAGTTTAAAATCTTCAAAAAATGTCGAAATATCTACCAAAGTTTTAGAATGTTTGTCTCGATGTCTTGCGCAAAAATTTCTTAAACAGAATTTGAGAATTAATACAGACAAATTAATGCTCAATTGGGATCGGAACGAAAGTAACAATGCGGCAACAACGCCGACAATTATTGAGCAGACACCCGTTGAATAATACTCAACAAAAATTATTCAAGTCCCGTCCAAAAAACACACAGGCCTAGGAAATTTTTTTCGCTTATCACATGACACAGTATGAGATCACTTAGCCCATATAACATCAGACAAAACCTTTTAGGACGAATCAATAGAGAAAAAAGGATTGATTTTAAAACAAATCGGAGTTAATAAGCTTACAACCAACCAAAGTATGAACTTCAAAAAAATTTAAGAGCAGACATGCTTAAAATTCGCATGTTACTTTACAATTAAAAGACTCGGAAGTTCCGATTAAAAAACTCTAAAGAATTGATTGGGCAAATTGTTCACCTGGAAAAAGCTCGTTCCGATTTGAAAATGCTTGCTGACCACAATCGTGAAATTTTACTTAATTGTTTAATTTGTTAGCTATTCAGTCTACATTTAGCAAAGACTGAATGAAATTTAAAAGATCAATTTTTTTGTTCCTTTTGCAATTTAAAAGTTGATCTTTCTTTTTATTTCTTATTGTTTTTAGAAGCGTGTAATTATCTGCGGGTCAATTTGTTTTGTTTATTTTTCAATTTGTTTTGTTTATTTTTCTTCGCTGTGATAGCTGCGGCGTGCGTGCGCGGGGAGGTTTAAGCCCACGTAATTTGAAATATCCACACAAGTACGTGATCTTGACTCTATCCCTGAAACGGTACAACTGTGATCGGAACATCCTGCGCTAATTTGCAGAGCATCCATTTTGTTCAGATTCCCTGTTTTTGAGTTTGGGTAATTTGAATTATTCTGGCTTATATATTTCGTAGATTAATTCGGATCTCTTTGACTATATCCCCCCTCCAGTACGTAGTAACAAATATCACCCCTATTAAGAAAAAATCAACGGTTAACCATATGAGAAATTTATACCTGGTAACGAATCTCCCTCTTTTGCAAAAGGAAGTCTATATTTAAAGAGATCCGATTAATTCCTGAGCTACTTGTTTCTGGGTCGTTTAATTCAGATCAATTGTCTTATTTCAGACAACACCCTCAATCCGGCGAATATCGACCCCAGTAGCATCAGCGTTGTCTTCTACGCGGGAGGTCATGGTCCAATGTGGGATGTTGCTTTCAATCGCGAGATTGCCACAATCGCTCGCCAGGTGTACAAGCACAACGCCGGAATCATAGGAGCCGTCTGCCACGGAACCTGCGGGCTCCTCCCAATCACACTCAAAGCGGCAACTAAGCCGACACTCCTGGAGAACCGAAAAGTAACATCGTTTACAAACGACGAAGAAGAAATGGTCTTTAATGAGGACACGTGGAATATCATGAATTTTAAGCTGGAGACAAAATTAACCGAGGCAGGAGCAGAGTTTGTAAAGGGGGAACCTTTTGCATGCAACGTTGTCAATCATAAAGGAATAGTTACGGGACAGAATCCTCAATCGTCAACAAAATGCGCTCAGGTCATTGTGGAAGAACTAGCCGCGAAAATCGCCAACAAGGATGCATTCAATAAACTTCTTTGAATTTTATATCAAAATATAAATCTATGCGTGTAAAACTCAAATTGAATGTTTGATCACAAGTTATGGGCGGCGTAGCGACAAGCAGGAGTGCCGCTTAGTATGCGCAATTAAAATAATTACGTAGTTTGATGCCGTATGCATCAGTTTGAAATTTAGTTGCACATATGTTGCGAGCTTGCCAACAGATTGTAGGACTGTATGCGAAATTTAGAGCCAATTATTGCCGCAAAGGGGTGAATCGCGCCTAGCGCGCCCATCGGCGACCTAAAACAGGACTTCTTGTATCGGAGTTTTTTTTGTTCATTACATGATTTTTCGCACTGTTTTGTATATGCATCATGAGAACAAACTGAGTTCTGATTGGCTAATAACCGCACGCCTGAAAGTAATACAAGTACATTACGAGGCCAAACTGTGCATTTTGTGCATTATAAGCGGATTCCGCAACAAGGACGCTCCCTTTGTTCTTTCCTTCTCTTTAATCGTTCCGACAAAATTTTAACATGTTTAAAGACTTGTCTCTGGAATCCAGGAACATACAGACACAAAATTGTGCTCCTATCCAGTGCAGTTTGGCCTCGTGATGTAATACAAAGGATCAGAGGTTAAGGGTGGTGGTGGTATGATGCAATTATGATGTAAGTTGGATCCGTTCATTTTCCTCAAATTGTTTTAGAGCAGGTCCAGGCGAATGTGGTATCATATTTCAGATTTTTTTTAAGAATTTTTATTTTTTTTGTGCATACAAGAGTATGAAAAGTTTTTTTAAAAATTAAAAAAAAAAACAGCTAGCGATACTGACAATTATCATTTCCAACAACAGGTTGAAATTGCACTTTGATCACGTGTTGGACGAAAAAGATAACCTTACGATTATAATTTTGAACGAATAAATGCCACATGCTTTGCGGTCATAAAGAGAAGAGTGGTCTTCGATCGGTTATTCATAAATATCAGTTTTCTGACGCATACTCCTGGCTTTAATTGTTCTAATTTTCAAAGAAAGTGCGGAACATTTATGCTTGGGGTAGTTCTCTTTTCTCCAGACAATTTTCTTATCATTTTTTGACGTTTTTTTATCAAGCGCGACGTATTTTTGTCCTGAACTCAAATTCGAAAGATTTTTTGCCTGTGATCATTTATGATCAGACTTTCAAGGAAATTCAGGAATAGATATGCTCGAGGTGGTTTCTTTATTCATACTAATTTCCAAAAAAAATCTGCTCACTCGGGATCAATCCCAGGATCATCGTGGGCCCCGCACAACACAATTAAAACCAGACACGAGTCCATCCAAACTGCTCGTTTTTTGTGTTTGATGCTAAAAATGTAACTCGCATTATTTATGCGAGGCAATTTCTTCCGCATTACAAAGTCATTTCAAATTGAATTGAGGCAAGCTAATTGATCTTAAATAATCAGCACACGACTCAAACTTAACTCTTAAAATGTGATATTATCAGCCTAAAATTCATAGCTTGTCAAAATTTCAGTTACCAAAAACTATTCGAGACAAGTTGTTTGTAAATCTATGGTGGTTCGAAGATTGACAATTAACAGATATATTGCGTTGAGAACACGCGTAAACGGAAGCTTAAATCGTCGCAAACTGAATTGAGGCAAATGATTTGTTCACATTTTTAGACCAGAGAAGTAACGATGAGCTTCGCACTACTTGCTTGCGATACACAAATTAATGACGTTGAGTAAATGAAAGATAAATCAAATTGAAAAAAAAAAATCATTTTGTCAAAAAATGTATAAAAATAGCACACAGCTATAAATCAACGTACAAAACGATCTGCACCGATAGAGGATTTAGAAAGAGCATTGAAAAAAAGAAGCCGACAGTCAAAAAATCCTGTGCGGGAACAAAGGCGACAAATCTGAGCAGAGACAATAGTCTTGAATAGCCTCAAGTTTTTCTTGCGCAAAAAACAGGTCCCGTGTGGATTCGTACCAGAAGCTAGCGTCGTGTCATTTTTAAATGGCCTTAAGTACAGTTGCATCGCTCAGAGCTTCGATTTGATAGAGAAGCATTCTTTTTTGTATATATTGACATTGAAAAAGGATCCTATTATAAGTTTGACACCCTTTAGTCGAAAATAGTTTCTATAAACTTCTACCTATGGAGGATTTTCTGCTTATCTGCTCTTAGCCTTAAACTAGTGCTTTTTTCCATTTAATTAAATTTGAATATAAATTTCGCGTCAGTGTGCAATACTTAATAAATTATTTATTTCAATTTTTGTCAGATCTGCATTCATTTAAACAATTTACGATAGCTTCACAATTAAACTTTGTATTGATTAAATACACACTTGCTCGGTAAGAAAATAATTTCACTAGATACAGAACAACGATAGAAAAATAGAAAGCAGCGCTGGAAAGAATTATTCGAATTAATTTACACAAAGCTTCGCAAGCAAACAAAGACATTGAAACAAAATTCGCTTCAAGAATGCCACACTAAGCATGCAAAAATTTGGTCAGTTGTTTTCTGTTTTTCGCTAATTGATGATCAAACATGATTTGAGCAGATTTGTTTGAGCTACTGCGTCTGAGAATTCGGATTGAGACGAGCCTGGTCCTGTTGTGCTAATTTTTGAACTGTCGACGGATAAACACCCTTTGGTTTGAGGTAGTCTTTCACCTGAAAAATAAAATAACTCAAAACACTTTTAGTTATTTTTAAATTAAAAACAAATCTCTACGCATGCAGCAAAGAATGTAATGACCACATCTGCTGCAAAATATTGCAAAAAAAATAAACGAGAAAATAAGATTTTTCGATATGGTTGTTAACGACTTCAAAAATCTTCTTTAAATCACGACTCTGTTTGTTGCCATACCTACTATTGCATAGAAAATGCAAGCCTTTAACAAAGTACTTCACACCTCAAAAAGCCGTCAAATACAAAAATATCGTATTATTAAACATTTCATTATTTCAACATTTCTTGCGACAGTTTAAAGTGACTTTAGGAGGGAATGAGTTTACTTTCTTAGTTACCGGAACTACTTAACAATCTCCCCCTTTAAAGAAAGCGGGGGGATTGTTAGGTACAGGCGCAGATCTAGGAAATTCTCGAGGGGGGCGGATTTTCAAAAACAAATTGAAAAAAAATTGTTGATCAAAAAATCGCGTTTTTTCGCCCACCCCCTCAAAATTAGTATTTATTGGCGCCGAAGGCACCTTTAGAAAAATTTAGGGATCGGCCAGCCAAAATGGATATCTCAAAGTAGTTTAAAGAGGGGACTTTTTGGGTCGGCAGGGGGTCCCTAATTTCGCTACTGGTTAGGTAGATTAAAACAGTCGAATTTTCGACCAATCAGAATGCAGCAAAATTAGAACTCGCAACAAAAAGTTCTGTACTAATTTATGTACTGTATTTATTCATAGAGAGGGGGAGATTGTTAAGTAGATCCTAGTTACCTGGCGGGGCACTTCAGCTAGAACATGCATGGCTAGCTGCTGCTGGTGCTGCACCGACAGTCTCGAAGGGTCCATGTCAGGTCTGATGATGTCACGCAGAGCCACAAACTAAACTCAAATACAGCAAACATAGCCAACAGACAGTTAGAAAAGCATAAAGAATAAGGAAACCAAAAATATGTATATTAAAACCTATTTCGAAGAAAGAAAATATATCACGTTGAAGCTCTTTTGAATTTCAACATGATTGGCACGTAAAGTTAGCATATATAGAGAAAACTGGATCAATAGGTAAGTTTTTATTCAGCTGGGAAATCTTTAAATTGAAAACCACTTTCGAAATTAAAAGTTGATCGCGTTTTTCATGAGCTTTACACTTTTGCTTTTCATAAGCCAGACCGCAAAAAACTGAGCTTAATCAAATTTTAATTTTTTTTTCTGAAAAAAAAAATTTAAAAAAAATAACAAAGACCAAGTAAAAATCAGTTCGTTCTTTAGATACTTCAAAAAAAATAAAGCAATTATATATATATTTGAAGTTTTAAAAAGGGGAGATGGTCACCCAACTGCAATGCCCTCAATATAAATGAGCCGTAGAACAAAAATCCATTAAAACGCTGAAAAGTTAACAAATTCGAAGCAACACACAATCAAATGCATATTACATGAAACGCAAATGCAGTTCTAGCCTCTTAGACAGAGAAAAAAGATGATTCGTTATGTGCTCCTAATTTGTTAACATTTAGGCATGATTTATAAAACCTGGACGATGTCTCTTGCGGCAACTCTGTTTCCAGAGCTCAGCATAGCCTTGTCAGAGTCCAGTGCCTCCATGGAGTCGAAGTCTGCATCTCCCACTCCTATGATGATTATGGACAGAGGGTAGTGAGACGCCTAAACAATTGATGACGTTGCCAAGATAGTTGGAAAAAGTATAATCAAAAGAAGGAAGCTGAAAAAAAGAAACAAAGAAAAAAGGCTTAATTAAGCCCAGGAAATTTTTTACGAACACTTAAGCGAACAGTAGACCTTAAGATTAGGAGTATGGCGTCCTCGCATCTGTACCATGATAGCTGGACAAGAGGTAAACACTAGCCATCACTAATGCAGATAGACCAGATAATATTAAATTGCCAATGCGAAGAAGCAAAACTGTCATCAAACCTGCACTTTATTGAGAGTTGGGTTAGAAAATCAGGATTCGTAACAACATAGCCAACATACAGTTGGAAAAGAGTCATGAACGCAATTAAATAGAAAAAAAAGGACAGTTTTTTTTTTTAAAAACTGCAACTTTCGAATTTCAAAGAACAAAATACATGGCCATGAAACTCTTTGAATTTCATGAACAATTTATCATTTCACATTTAAAAAAAACTCAAGAGAATTGGATCAATAGGTAAATTTTTTATTCCGCTGGGAAATCTGAAATATCTAATCCACTTTCCAAATTAGACTTTGTATTCCCCTAACAAAGGAAATGAACTGTACTGAAAAACACAGCCAGCAGACAGTTGGAAAAGAGTCCACTCAAAACGAACATCCACTTTCGAAATAAGAAGTCGATCACGTTTTTGTAACCGCTACACTCCTGCTGTTGGATAACCGAGATTGCCTTCCGTTGAACTATGGAAATGATTTGAATTTAAAAAGAAAACAAAAGTCAAACCGAAAGAAATCCATATTTTAGTCTGAAAAATCTTTAAGACTTCCTGAAAAAGAAAAATTACAATCATGACGACCTATATAAGAGCCTGATCTACGTTCATCGACTCCGAATTAACACGTCGCGTAGGTGGTGAACTAGTCCGGCTCAGAAATCAATTAACATTGAACTGAGCAAGATAGTTGGCCCCAATACCACGTATCTAGTTACGAAAATCTTTACTCTGTACTTGAGATTGCGTGTTAGGGGATGCTTTTGATAAATATCCTTAAAAATCAAAAACCTAATTATTATTTTTTAATCATTTATAAAATAAACCTACTTCAGGTATGTAAAAGGACTGAGAACAACCAGTGCTGTTTTGTGCTGATACAAGCATACTTATCTGGCTTGAAATTGAAGTGTGTGTAAGGGGTTCTCACCTCGATTACTGCCTCAATGGTGGCGTCCAAATCAACGATGGCCCCATCTGTGATTATGAGCAGCATAAAGTAGTGCAAACCAGTTTGGAACTGAGAAGCAGTCCTAAACACGAAGCAATAGCCTCACTTTCCTCTTTAACATGGAATAAACAATGACAGTATAATAGGTCTAGGTAGTCGATTGTAGGGGAATTTCTTACTTTTCGGGCAAAACCATTTATCTGAACTTATATCGTGAAGATCCCGTTTAATTCTCAGCTGTGCTTTATATACTAACTCATTAAATCATTCAAACATAAGCTGTATTTATTCTCTTCAATATGGTTATTTGAATCATTCGTTAATCTTTTTCTTAGCCGCCCCCCGAAATTGTTCAACATCAGAATCGTTTCACAATCGCAAATACTTGAAAAAATGTATGCCCTTTCCATAAAACTTTTTATTGTTCCAGGAAAAAAACCGGAACAATCAAGTAATACAAAAACCTCAGAAGATCAATTATTAACTTCATGCACGCGCAAGCCAAAAAACAGAAAACGATGGATAAATTGATACATTCTACTTACTTCAGTTAAGCTGAAACCCTCTGTCATTAGTTTTTCAAAAATTGCGTTACCATATACAAATTATTTTAAGCTAGCGGAAAGAAAATAACAAAAAAACATTACGTCGGTAAAAAAACAACAAAAAAGCCAAAAACAAGTTCATATAAATTTGTCTCAAAAGATTTTCGATTTAAGGAAAACGCAAATGTCGTAGAACAAATGACCTCTATTCAAAAGTCATTCCTTAATTTTCAACGTAGTTTTTAGCGCATAGTTTCTCTCCGCTATTGATTATTTGTTCTTTTCTTTTGTGAACAGAGCATCAAATCTACGCTTGAAATATATTTCATTGTATTATTCTTTTGACTACATTTTTGCGTATCTCCTTGACTATAGCCCCCTCCCCTCATTACATTATCTCCCGACCCGCATATATCCCCCTTTATTTTTCGATTGGGACCAAGTTAATAGCTTCCCCCAGCTTGGTGGGTAGGATGATAGCTTGGCTTTAATCTGTCCGAACTAAATGCTGCGGTGGAACATTCTAATTTGGTCTATATGGGGGCGGTGGGGGGGGGGGGGCATATTTTTGCTTGCCCTACCCTACCCTATCCTAGGGAGGTACGATGAGGTAGAGACTCAGGGTACACTAGGGTAGGGTAAGGAGGGTGGTTTTGGGTGAGTGGTTAGTTGACCTTGTCTGCATTGGCTTGAATTGCAACAATAATTGAAGGCCATGAAACTGTCTAGCATAAATTTTTTAAGCAAACTTTAGGTGCAATTATTTCAACGTCTTCAACATGAGTCTGATCTGAAAACGGCGCGTTAGGTCTTCAACACAGCTCATTAGCGGATGCCCAATAAAGCTTTGAAACTGTATTTCTTCGTAGTTTTAAAATTATCTAAAAATTTTTTGAGTTGCATATCTGATGATTGTAATTTAGGGTTAATTAATAATTTCAGAAGAATGCCCAGCATCAACAGTTCTTGAAGTTTTTGACAAAGAGTATACCAGTGTCATTCGATAGGGCACCTAATTTCAACCAAGCAGAGCTTTTTCGGATTACGAACGTGGAATCCTATGTAGAAGCAAAATATTGTCTGTTAGAACGGATAACATGGAGGTCAATTTTTTCAAAAGCGAAGCAGCTAGTTGGATCAAAAATTGTAAAATGGATGTTTCGCGCTACAACACACAAATTTTGAGATTCATCCAAAAGCAAGTGAACGCCGAGCACCCTGCTTTTGATGAATTGATGAACATTACGAAAGATTCAATATATGGAAATGGAACCATTACCAGTTTCAGAGCAAGTGGACAGGCGAAAAAACGAAGACGACGAAATTAATTATTCGTGTTCATTTAAAGCGAACCGATACCCGTGATCTTCAGATTTTGACTGAGACTGGCGATGCGACGAGAGACCAGGAACAGAATGGTGGTTCGCTGTTGGTGTGTGAGTCAACACAAGAGTCGGCCAAAGTTTGCAAGTTTTGTCAAAATTTGAGGTAGAAGAAAACTGGAAAAGATAAAGAAGCAGAAATCAAATATCCACAGCATTTGCCAGCCGAAAGGTAACTTAAATTTAGATAGCAGTACCAATAATAAGAAAAAAAAAGACAATTTTCGGGAAAAAGGATGCCAAACAAGTCTTTTGTAGGATTATTCCGCAACATGAAACTGTTCGTGTCTAGGATGAAACCGAAAGAATTGTACTTGATTGAGATAATTTGAGACTTTTTAATCTGAAATGTCCAATAAAAAGTTGAAACATAGCCAACAGAGAGTTGGAAAAGAGTCAACGAAGGCAATTAAACACAATAGAAACTGACTTTCAAATTTCGAAAAAAATTGATACCCTTAAAGCTTTATGAATTTCTAGAACAATTGATGACTGGCACTTTTACGATAAAATTAACCGCAATATGAGGAAAATGGATCAATAGGTAAATTTTATATTTCGCTGGGAAATCTGAAAATTAAATTCCATTTTCGTGACCTTTTGAATTTCGCTGTTCAATAGTGGAGTTTGTCTTCTTTTTCGTCAAGGAACTGAAATTAACTTGAAAGAAATCAAAATTCTTATTGCAAGAAGGCAAACTTGAGCTTGAATAAATTTTAAACTTTTCCTTAAAAAAAAACGAAAACATAAACCATTACGACCTATACAAGAGTCTTGACTACGTTCATCGACTCTTAGACCCTATTTTGAGAAAAAAATATCTGCACTGCAAGTCAAATGTATTTAAAAAAGCCAAAAATGTCGTATGTTTGACGCGTTCCAGCTTCAAATTTTTTGTACACAGGCGCCAAAGGTGCCTTTAAAAAACTTTTTTGAATCGTCGGCCAAAAATGGATGTGGTAAAATAGTACCCAAGATCGAATCCTTTGGGTGGTCAAATACATCCCCTTTCAAGGCCGCTCCTGTGATAGTTGTTAAAACTTTGAGCTTCGTGTAACAGAGCAAGGGCCATTTTTTGTTTCCTTTTCCGTTTTCATGAACAATCCATGACCGTAGACTAATTAAATTTGATACAAAAATAATTGAACTAATTGCAAATTCCGTGTAGTTAGAACAAAGTACCACGATGACTCCGGCAAATTTGTAAGCTCTTGGCTCTGATTCAGATGCATATCAGAGATTTATTATCGATAAAAGGCAATGGATTGTTAACACTTCGTCAATTTTTGAAAAACTACTTGAAATTTAGTTTAAACTCTTTCTGACCTCATAGCAGCCTTGATTATGGGCTGGAAGTAGGTGGGACCTGCCAATTGGGAATGACTGATCGCGTATCGGTACGAGTCCAGGATTCCCTGCACTCCGACCACATTCGGATTATCGGGGTTGTTATTCTAAAAGAAGCTAGTATATATTATTTCAAAACAAGTTATTTCTCAAGTCATAGTCAAAAGACGCCAGGAAAAAAAGACGACAATCCCCGATAACTGGCATTAATTAACCGGTTAAATAAACAACACTGCAAACTCTGAAAATGTTTTTCGAAAATTGGGAGAAGACAAAAAGTGAAGCGAACAAAAATTGCATGAACTTCAACAGAATTATTATGGGGCAATTTATTTTGGCGAAATTCGCAACGAAAATTTTACCACAAAAGTAGGCCACTTTGGCTCTTTTCATTTAATATAGAATTTAGCGTAAGCTACTACCGGGTTGGTTGATGCGAAATTTATATCAAAAAAGACTCTTACACACCCAACAAAGTTCTTGCATGGTAAAATCTCCAAAAAATGTTACACAACGCTTAAAATTTGTTTTCAAAGCGAATATTTTAGGTTTTATGTAGTAAAAACGACCATTTTTGGCGATCAAGCAAAACTATTTCATCTATATAGAAGTTTGAAGATTTTACCCTGCTAGAATTTGTTGCGGTATTTAAGAGTCTTTATTGATAAAATTTTCGCATCAATTAATTCGAAAGTTTTAGCCTATTCTTGGTTAAATAAAAGCCAAAATGGCCCATTTTAGGGATAAAAGATTGGTTTCAAATATTGCAAAATAAATTACAACATATTAATTCTGATGATATTCTTATCATTTTTTGTCCTCTTCACTTTTTGTCAAATCTTAACGCTATGAGAAAAACGCGCTTGGAAGTTCAAATGTTGTACGTTTTGACCGGATAATTTAAACCAGCACTGTATCTAGGTGACCACTAAATTGTCAGTTCATACATCCTATCTGATCCTTGAAATATTGAGAATCAAAAATTAACAGTTTTAAAACTAAACGAACACAATTAAATAACATAGCTAACAGACAGTAAGAAAAGATTCAGTGATCGCAGAAAACCAAAGAAAAAGAGTGATTATTTTTGAAAATTTTTTAAACAGAAGCGAAACTTCGCTTGGCAATCACTTGCGAGAACACGACAAAAAGCAGCTCTATGAAAAGCAATAATCATAATTAGAAATAAGCCTCAAATTAGCAAAAATTCGTCTATCTCTTAGATTCAAAAATGTGACCTAGAGATTAACAGTCTCATAGACTAAAGCTTAACACAGCCACGGAAGCTTAATAGGTACCATTAACCAGTTAGTCACAAATAAAGCAGAGAATTGATGCTATGTAATTTCCAATGCTTCATTGAACTTTCGAAGTAAGTGAACACTTATTAAGAACACTTTTATTTGCAAGTAGGGTTAGAAAAAAAGAAGGGTCGTAATAAAACACCAATCTGATCGCAAGTCAACAGCAAAAATACGTCCTTCAAGCTCTTAGAAATTCAACTACGTTAGCAATTGACACCTTTTTGATGGAACTAGCCTAAATAGAGAAAAATGTATCAAAAATTAATATTCATACTCGGCTGGGAAATTTAAATTTCAAACTCCACGCTTTCTAACCAAACATAGTCAAATGACAGTTGGAAAGAGTAATGAAAGCAAGAAAACAGAAAAAAAACATGGCCCACAAGCAGTTGGAAAAAAAGTCAATGAACGCAAGTGAACAGAAAAAAATACTGATATTTTTTGCAAAAACTTCAACTTTCGAACTTCAAAGAATGAAATAGATGCCCTTAAAGCTCTTTGAATTTCTAGAACAATTGATGACTGGCACTTTCCAGATAAAATTAACCCAACATGTGAAAACTGGATCAATGGGTAAATTTTTAATTCGCTGGGAAATCTGAAAAATAAATTCCTTTTTCGAAACTATACGTCAAACACGTTTTTCGTGACCTAATAAATTTCCCCTGTTCGATAGTGGAGTTTACCTTCCTTTTAACAAAGGAAATGAACTGATCTTAAAAATAAAACAAAGTCTAACTGCAAGAAAGTAAATTTGAGCTTGAACAAATTTTAAGACTTCCTGAAAAAAAAATACGAAAAAAAATCTAGCATACTCTTTCTCTGCCTTCAAGTTAGTGTTTACGATTTACGAAATTGTGGTGAAAGCAATTTTCATTGAAATGGTAATTATTGAGTCCGCCACATGTAATGAATTTTAAAACTAGGCATAAACATGCATAAATATTTTATTTGAAATGCAGCTGGGAATGTCTAAATGAGACTTAGATGCTGATCTATTAAAATGGTTTTTGATTTTAAAAAAATGAGGGCTCACAAAGCGAGTGCCATTTAAAATATTTATCTTAACAGGCAAAACCCTGGATCCGGTTTAGCAATAAAAACCAAGACAGGATTCTGATGTCTTTTTAACATGCAAAAAGAAGCCTTTTTAAAATACTAAAACCAGAAGTTCCCTTCTCACACAGAAGCCAGGAGTCGTCTTAACCTAAGAGCTAGGAGTCTATTTTGTAACTACTATGACCATATCGCTCACCAGTGGATAATTGTGGCTGACTACTTGGGTTCCGAAGAACCTGCCGCCGAAGCCATACACTGGGAACAGTTTGTCACTGTCGTACTCCTGGATTACATTGCCCACCGCTTGAATCGCAGTAGTGTACTGGTTGACTGCATATTGGGGGTTGAAGTAGTGAAGAGAGTTAGGAACTTGTGGATTGCCTGGGAAAAAATAAGACAATCGATCAAAACGATTTTCTTAAATGGCTGATATGAATTTGAGGAATTCTTTCTATATGCCTTAATCCTTTCTATATGCCGTGAGGAATTTTTTAATTTTTAACAAAGAGGCGAAACTGCGCTTTGCAAACACTAGTGAGAACTCAAAAATTAGCCCTATAGTGCACTAAGAAAAAATAGAAATAAGCCTCAAATTAGTAAAAAATAAATTTCGGCTACGTCACGGATTCGATCTCCGACCTAGAGATTATGATTCACATACACTAACCACTCAGCGAAGGACACTTAATAAATCACAAACACTAGCCAAAAATAAAGCAAGAAATAAAAAAATTTTAAAAAGTTTCATATTTATACACTAATGCTCGCAAGCTCGATGGTGTAAAAAGGCTAACCTGCCGCAATTCGCAAATACGAGCTAAAAAAAGGATAAAGTGGCTTTGGGAGGGTTAAAAAATTGAAATAAGGATAAATCAGCCGTGAAAAATTAAACTTTTGAATCGTCCAGCATAAACCATACGAGTCATTCACCGAAAAACGTCTTCTACCGGACCAAATACATTTGCAAATCGCAAGTTTGATCAACATTTGTAAGTTCGGCCTGCATCATAGATTTAAACCTCCAATTTGAACTTTTCACCTGTAACTTTTTTTTTGAAATGGACATTAATAGTCTGGTAAGCACATTTGATAGATCAATTGTCGGTAAAACAAAAAGAGCAAATTAAACACACCGTTTGAAGCAGTGAAGTCCACGGCCACGATGAAACTGATCTGTAGTCTAAAAGCAAACACGAAATTAATATGCGATGACTTAAAATAGTATTTAAAAATCGTTTAAAATATTTATCGAAACTTCAAATTCAAAACTGCCATGCTATATTATACATCTTGCTTTTCCAATGAAGTTATGATTCTCCACTCCAATATTCAATTTGGGATATAACATGAAATTTCTGAAACTTATTGGCTGAAATTTCAAACTTAGAACCAAGTTAACATGACCTCAAAACGCTTCAGGGGTAAAATGGTGCTATCTAGGTACAAGAGAATACTACAATCCCAATGGCAGATAGATGACACTGTCTGTTCCAGATTAGAAAAGTTACAAATCGCTCCCAAATAATACGTGCTACCACCTCTATGAAGTATTTATCTCGTCCAAACAAAATGACCTAAACCTAAAACCATCCATTCTACATGACTTTCAGTCAAGTGTTTAAAACATAGCCAATAGACAGTTGGAAAAGCGTTATGAACGAAAGGAAACAGAAAAATACACTAACTATTTTGTTTGAAACTAAAACTATAATTGACAATTGTTTTTATAAAAACTAACCCTAGAGAAAACTGGATCGATAGGTGAATTTAAGAAGTCTGCAACTTAAATTCCACTTTTGAAACCAGTTTCGATTAAGTTTTTTTAATCAATTATGGGATTGTAGTTTTTGATAACCATTAAAAATTTCGAAGAACGGTAAAAAATCAAAGAGCTTGACTTTTCCGAAGGCCATAACTTTTTGTATAAAAAAGTGGTCAGGGCTTAATACACGGGGGACTTTCCCACAGACTGTTCTTTGGATTGACCGAAAATCTCAAAAAGAATCAAAAAATGGTAAGCAAAAATCAAATTGTTGTTTTTCTTCTTAGGGCCCTAACTTAAAGTAAAAAAAAATGGCTTAGTTGATCATGCAGGGGCGCTTTCACAACCAGTTGTTTCGATTGAAACCAAAACCTCACCTTTTATTTGCATTAATTTTGAAGCAAATAAATTCAAAAAGTTATTAAGAAAATTTAATACATCCGACAAGTACGCCGAAAAAAGTTGGGACGAAATCCATTAAACGGACAAAAAAATCAATTTTACTCTGAAAAAGTTCCCAGTAACAAACATTGCACTCAGCAGTTTAATTTGAATTTTCAAGAAATTGAGCATATCAGCAAAATAGAAGCAAATGATTCAACTGATTTGTTTAAGCTAGCTGTTAGCCCGAAAAAAAGTGTACATTCTGATTTGATGACGCTTGCCAATCGCAAGCGTAATCGTTGATTAGTTTTTTTTTATTTTGTTTTTGTGCTTCAGTAAGAACTCTAAATTAAGCAGCAAAAAAAACTCTATTCAGTAAGAACTCTAAAAAAAATTTGTTTCGTTTTCTAATTTTTGTGCTTCAGTAAGAACTCTAAATTAAGCAGCACAAAAAAATCTGAAAAACGAAAAAAAAAAAAAATTTTGAGACAGAGAAAGTAAGAGCTAATTTTCATTTGATCTCTTCTAAAAATCGTTTTTGCCCCTGCTTCGTAAAAACAATGGAAGTAGAACTTAAAAGAAAACACTGACAATATTTTGTTTGGAAATTTATCGAACATTTTTTTAACATTTCAACTTCCCAATTTTGAAAAAAGTTTATCAACCCCCTTGCCAATTTTTCAAAGTAATTTTTTGTTCACTTTATCTGATTGTTACAAAAGTTGGCATGCATACTGATTAGGCCGTGACAAAGATGATGGTCTTCAAATTTAACCTCGTAAATGGCACCAAAATTGGCACCAAATACAAACAAATACAATTTTGCATGTAGTAAATGGAAATATCACAAACTAAAGGCATCCAAACTAACTTTGCATATAATTAATTGGAAAGCATACAGGCACATTAAGTATAAATTATGCATTTAAAAAAACTGCGAGATATAAGGAGTTAGAAAATGTCTGAAATCGAGTTTTTATTATTGTATTGATATTTGAAGCAAATAGCTTTTCTTTCGGTCCATTTAAACATAAGAATGCATCAATTGTGTAACTTAATACTAATCGAATGACAAAGCACATGCTATCAAAAAGTCTTAAGGTGCCACCAAAAGTGGCAACAACATTAGCGACTTAGGTTACAAAAAAAGTCAGTATCCTTGTTCGATTCGATTTTTCGAGGAGCATCTATTTTGACAACAGAATTATCATTGTTATATTCATTTACACTAGAAAACCTAAGTGAGCGCTAGCGTTATATTTCGGCTTTTCTTTTTTTGTAACCTAACGCTCACTTATGTTTTTTAGTGTATATAAATATATCAAAGATAGATTGTTGTAAAAATAGATGCTCCTCGAAAAATCGAATCGAACAAGGATACTGACTTTTCTTTTTTTTTTGTAACCTAAGTCGCTAATGTTGTTGCCACTTTTGGTGGCACCTTAATGACTTGCAAGGGTATTTAGATCAACCGGTAGCCCACGATCACTGCAAAGAATGTTTGTTTGTTCGAATTGTACCAATTTATTAATGCTGTACCGCTTCCAGATCGTTCGCGGACGCTGATCGTCGAGTGATCGATCAACCGTTCAAACTTTCTGACAAGGGGAATCTACCATGTCAGAACATAGCCAACTAACAGTTGAAAAATAGTAGTGAAGCAAAGAAACTGAAAAAAAAAACGGGTTTTTTTTCAAAAGCCTTCAACTTTTGAACTTCGCAGAAAAAATACATGTCCTTAAAGCTCTTTGAATTTGTAGACTAATTTATGATCGACACTTTTTTGTTAAAATTAACCAAATTTGAGAAAACTGGAACAATAGGCGAAAAATCAAAATTGAGAGTGAACAAACTAAGACTTTTTCCTGAAAAAAATAACAAAAAAAAAACAGCAAGACCTATACTTGAGTTTTCACTACGTTCATTACTCTTAAAAACCCAAATTCCCGAAAATTAAGTTAGCCAATCAGAACTCAGTATCCCAAAATATGAAAGAAAAAGTACGGAAATCCGTCAGTTTTGGACTGGTTAAGCAATTCCATATATCGGGAACATAAAAACGATAACACATAATTTCCAAGTGAGATCATAACATATAAAGAAGAAATAAAGAATTCTTCTACAAAAACATTACTTGGGTTTGTGCCATAAGAGTTTACATTGATCAATTAGTGATTGATTGTCGTTTGCATCTGAACTAATTAAGTGTTCACTTACCCCGCCTGCACATAGTAGATGAAGTCGCATTCCTCTTCTGAAGTGAGGCTGCTCACCAGAAGCACTCCCGAGTTCTTATACTTCTTCCCCTTTTTCTCCTTTTTGTGCTGGTTGATGAGCTAAACAGGCATTCAGTTAGAAGAGGTAGTTTCAGGGGTTGGTTCACAAAAAACAATATGCAGATTAAGCAAGGATGTTCGCACTTAGCACAGAATTTTCCCACCATAGTCTTGAACTTAGTGTTAATCTGCGTGGTGTGATAAAAGGATGTGATCGGAAATTAGGCATATTTGACGCTCATGTTAAAATAGGCAAATTGGACAACAGTTTTTGTAGAAAAACGCCTAGAAAAAAATCAGAAATTTGTAGAAAATATTCTTATTTTTTTTGAAGAATTTGTTTTTAATTAATTTTTTGATTCCCGAAATGGCTCCAAAAATCTCCAAAAGCTAACTTTACTCGCGTAAAACTAAACATTTACGGCTTAAATTGAGAATAAATTAGCTATTGTAAGCCAAACATAACACAGCGGCGAAGCTGGGCTTCGCAAACACCAGCGAGAACACAAAAAAAAGTTTTGCAATAACAAAAGTAAAAGCAAGCCTCAAATTAGTAAACAGAGCCAATCGAAGATTTGAAAAAAGTAATAAACGCCAGCAAACATGAAAAAAACACTGACATTGTTGAAACTTTCGAATTTCAAAGAAAAAATAGATGCCCCTTTTACCTCTTTGAATTTCTAGAACGATTTATGATTTGCGCTTTTTTGAGAAAACTGGATCAACAAGTGAAGTTTTTATTCCGCTAGAGTTCTAAAAATAAATTCCACTTTAGAACCTAAAAATCGTTTTACGTTTTTTGCGCCATTTCGACGTTCGTATCCGGACTCGAAAACACGACCTACTTTGACCTAGAATATATGAGCATCACGCCCTAACCACTCAAGCACGGACGCTTCGTCCACCACAAACACTAGCCACAAATAAAGCCGAGAACAGATGCTATGAATATTCCAATGCTACAGATCGTGATTATAGCAAAAATGCACACAAGTAAACACTTTTCATGAAAACTTTTATTTGCGAGTTAGGTTCGTACTAAAACACTAGCTGCTCGCTAGCGTAACCGAAACAAACGTTACTGGTTCGCTATATTCGCTCGAATTTGGACTAAAAATCTAAATTTTAATTTTGTTTTTCTCGATACTGAGACAAATTTTACAAAATTTTTTAATGCCCATCGCATTATTTTTGGTACCTGATTTTGCGTGGAAAACAAAAAAAAGTACAAAAACTAGATCACCCGAATACAAAGTTTCTCCTCAAATTCAATGGTCGTAACAAACAGCAAATTAGCCTTTTTAGACAATATCAAGTCGTTTCATTTGTCTCCTTGTTTAAAACACTCAAAATACAACACCCTTAGAGCCATAATAACCTTGACCAATAATGAATATTGATTACAACAAACTAACCGCAAAAAAACTTATTTTTCGATTTTTGATTATCTCTTAGTGGGAAGGTAAGATTTTTCCGCGCAATTTGAGGTTCCTCTACCAAAGCTCGTGAATGCACGATGGCTGTATCAAATTGAAACCCTTATAATCGCAATTCGGATTCCAATTTCTTTCAAAAAGTTCTCTTAGGTAAAAAGAAATCTGAATCAAGAAAGAAAACAATCAAGAAAATTTTTAATTGTCACTAATTTTACCTTCCTTAAGATAAAAAAAAGACTCGAGTCAATAGGCATTCAATTTATTCCGCAGGAAACTCTGTAAATTTAAGTACATTTTTAACATAATTTTTATTTTTTCGCGCCGATTGAACTTTTTTTTGTTATTGGAGAGCGTAATGTTCCTTATTTTTTGCAAATAGTTTTGAATCTAAAATCAAACCACGAAAATCTAATTTGGAGGGTGAACAACCATTTCAGAAAAAACACAATTCTTAAATAAATGCTTGCACTTCGTTCATGGCCATTTGAGAAGTAAAAATTGCCTGGTTTCTTCAAAGAACACAATAACTTAGTCTACTATTGCTTTCTTACACACACAAATTGCTTCCCACAAAAAATGCTTAACACAGAACAAATATCCTTTAAAGCTCCGTTATACATAATTTATAGGCTTAAAAATCATTTGAAAAGTCACCACTGGAATTACATGGATACTAACAGGAAAAGATTTGGATCCGATCTCTTTGAACAGTTCTCCGCCAGTAGTTGTCACATCGCCAATAAAATCAGGCCTAAAATATCAAATTTTCAAATAAATGATTTTTGAATAGGAGAAAAAAGGAAGAAACGGTTATATAATCGGGCGGATATGCTATGCTCATCAAGGAAAATGGATTTCTAATTAATAAGTTTCATATACTATAATCAGAATGTATTTCAGAAACCAGATTTCCAGCTACGCAAGAATGTGTCTATGTTTTGTATATACAAGATTTTTTCAAAACAAATGTATATCAACGCTGTAAAAGTCTGTGGATTATATCCGAAAAAAAATGTCCTCATTTACCCAAAATGCTAAATGGTCTAATTATAATAACGTACGATCCATCACTATTGTAGTCGTAGCACTCAATTTTAATTGGAAGTTGGTCGTCGTTGTCGTTGAAGCGAGCCTTGTTGATGATGAATGGTTCCCAATTTGGATTGAGATTGTTCTTGATCACTTTAGTTTGACCAGTGACGATGAAACTAAACACGCAGAGAGAAACCGTTATTTAACATAGATGCAAAGCGGAGCGTTCCATTACTCGCTATGCATGAATAATACTTTTTATTACAATCTATGAAAACCATTGTGAAACATTGAACGGTCATGAAAAAACTTTTAAGTTGAATTTTCTGGTTCGAAAAAACTGAAAAATTTACTTTCCCGGCTCATAAAAAAACTTAAAAACTGTGAAAATGACATTTCAATATAAACACAGAGTCAAAACGGAGCCTCGGAACAAGATACAAAACGAAGATAGCTTAATAAATTAGCAGATAGAAAATGAGCGGGGCAACTAAGCCAAAGTATTTTTTGATTAGAAACAACAAAAATTTCACTAATTTGTCGCGAATGGTCTTCATTTCGAAGATTATATGCATTCGAAATCAATTGCCGAGTGGACACAAGTTGAGCCGAACACAAAATAAAGTCATAGAAAATTAATCTACAATTTTTAGGCCCCATTTTTAGGAAACACATAAATCTACTTTTGCATCATTTTAAACGGCACAAGGATAGCCGATTATTGTGCAAATAGCTCGAAACTCCACTTTCGAAATTAAATATATATATATGCATTTGAAATTCAATTTGAATTTCAAGAGCAATTTATGATTGGTGATTTTCGTTAAAATTTAACCCAATTAAGAAAACTGGATCAATTGGTAAATTTTCGTTTCGGCTGTGAAATCTGAACATTAAAACCTACTTTCGAAACTAGAAGTCGATCACGTTTTTCGAGACCTAAACACTTTTTGTTGCTCGATAGCAGAAATTGTTTTCCTTTTTTAACAAAGTTAATGAGCTGAACTAAAATAGATCTTGATATTCAATCAAATTTGGGCCTTATAAAGGCGTTCACTACGCTCGTTACCAAATAAACAATACTGTTAAATAAAACGGAAGATAAAACCCATTTCCCCATACTTTACAATTCAATTGGTTTTAAAAGGGATAAAAATTGAAATAAGCGAATTTCTGACTTTTTGTTGGCACCTAAGCTGACAAAACATGAGCGGACAAAAAATAAGCCGACAATTTCTTTGAAACGAAAGATTTCACGTTTGAAAAAAAAACAGTCCCTAGTCAGATTCGAACCAAGGACCTTTACTGTCTCAGGCGTACTCGTTACCTCCAGACTAAGTGCGCAGGAGTCCCTTATAAATTTGAATTTGATATAAATTAAGATAGTAGTGATACTGTTAAACGAACTGTTAGCCACAAAAAAAGTCTATATTCCGATTTGATAACGCTTGTTAAATGCAAGAATAATCAAATATAGTCATTTCAGCTTTTATCGACACCGTTTTTTCTTTCTTTACCAATGTTGGGTGGGCTCAGCTCATCCGTTTCCAGGCTAAGGAACTTCGCTACTTTACCGGCTTTAACCACCGGTCTGCGGGAGTAAAAGGGGGGGAATTTCTGGGACAGTTAAAAATGTGGCAACAAGTGTGGGGTGACAAAAACAATAAGGGCGAAGTGGGGAAACTTGGTTAACTAAGCGGGCGAGGTAGGTCTTTAAAAGCCGACTGTAACCCGACCAAAGTTGGGAAAGCTTACAGCGGGTCGTTCTGGGAAGGGAATGTTCTGAGGGGTCCAGGCTAGGAGGTGGAATACAAATTACTTTTTAGGGAGGGGTTTCTGATAGGAAATTAGTTTGTATGGTTACTAGGTTTGTATGGTTTTGTTATAAAAGTGGCTTGTAGTGGTTAAAAAATAAAATGTCATTTAATGGTGCGAAAGTGGATTCGTTGATTTCATTGGGCAGTACTTGATCAAAGCCGAAGAAAAAATAGATGCCCCTTTTACCTCTTTGAATTTCTAGAACGATTTATGATTTGCGCTTTTTTGAGAAAACTGGATCAACAAGTGAAGTCTTTATTCCGCTAGAGTTCTAAAAATAAATTCCACTTTAGAACCTAAAAATCGTTTTACGTTTTTTGCGCCATTTCGACGTTCGTATCCGGACTCGAAAACACCACCTACTTTGACCTAGAATATATGAGCATCACGCCCTAACCACTCAAGCACGGACGCTTCGTCCACCACAAACACTAGCCACAAATAAAGCCGAGAACAGATGCTATGAATATTCCAATGCTACAGATCGTGATTATAGCAAAAATGCACACAAGTAAACACTTTTCATGAAAACTTTTATTTGCGAGTTAGGTTCGTACTAAAACACTAGCTGCTCGCTAGCGTAACCGAAACAAATGTTACTGGTTCGCTATATTCGCTCGAATTTGGACTAAAAATCTAAATTTTAATTTTGTTTTTCTCGATACTGAGACAAATTTTACAAAATTTTTTAATGCCCATCGCATTATTTTTGGTACCTGATTTTGCGTGGAAAACAAAAAAAGTTAAAAAACTAGATCACCCGAATACAAAGTTTCTCCTCAAATTCAATGGTCGTAACAAACAGCAAATTAGCCTTTTTAGACAATATCAAGTCGTTTCATTTGTCTCCTTGTTTAAAACACTCAAAATACAACACCCTTAGAGCCATAATAACCTTGACCAATAATGAATATTGATTACAACAAACTAACCGCAAAAAATACTTATTTTTCGATTTTTGATTATCTCTTAGTGGGAAGGTAAGATTTTTCCGCGCAATTTAAGGTTCCTCTACCAAAGCTCGTGAATGCACGATGGCTGTATCAAATTGAAACCCTTATAATCGCAATTCGGATTCCAATTTCTTTCAAAAAGTTCTCTTAGTGAACAACAAATCTGAATCAAGAAAGAAAACAATCAAGAAAATTTTTAATTGTCACTAATTTTACCTTCCTTAAGATAAAAAAAAAAGACTCGAGTCAATAGGCATTCAATTTATTCCGCAGGAAACTCTGTAAATTTAAGTACATTTTTACATAATTTTTATTTTTTTCGCGCCGATTGAACTTTTTTGTTATTGGAGAGCGTAATGTTCCTTATTTTTAGCAAATAGTTTTGAATCTAAAATCAAACCACGAAAATCTAATTTGGAGGGTGAACAACTATTTCAGAAAAAACACAATTCTTAAATAAATGCTTGCACTTCGTTCATGGCCATTTGAGTAGTAAAAATTGCCTGGTTTCTTCAAAGAACACAATAACTTAGTCTACTATTGCTTTCTTACACACACAAATTGCTTCCCACAAAAAATGCTTAACACAGAACAAATATCCTTTAAAGCTCCGTTATACATAGTTTATAGGCTTAAAAATCATTTGAAAAGTCACCACTGGAATTACATGGATACTAACAGGAAAAGATTTGGATCCGATCTCTTTGAACAGTTCTCCGCCAGTAGTTGTCACATCGCCAATGAAATCAGGCCTAAAATATCAAATTTTCAAATAAATGATTTTTGAATAGGAGAAAAAAGGAAGAAACGGTTATATAATCGGGCGGATATGCTATGCTCATCAAGGAAAATGGATTTCTAATTAATAAGTTTCATATACTATAATCAGAATGTGTTTCAGAAACCAGATTTCCAGCTACGCAAGAATGTGTCTATGTTTTGTAGATACAAGATTTTTTTCAAAACAAATGTATATCAACGCTCTAAAAGTCTGTGGATTATATCCGAAAAAAATGTCCTCATTTACCCAAAATGCTAAATGGTCTAATTATAATAACGTACGATCCATCACTATTGTAGTCGTAGCACTCAATTTTAATTGGAAGTTGTTCGTCGTTGTCGTTGAAGCGAGCCTTGTTGATGATGAATGGTTCCCAATTTGGATTGAGATTGTTCTTGATCACTTTAGTTTGACCAGTGACGATGAAACTAAACACGCAGAGAGAAACCGTTATTTAACATAGAGGCAAAGCGGAGCATTTCATCACTCGCTATGCATGAATAATACTTTTATTACAATCTATGAAAACCATTGTGAAACATTGAACGGTCATGAAAAAACTTTTAAGTTGAATTTTCTGGTTCGAAAAAACTGAAAAATTTACTTTCCCAGCTCATAAAAAAAAACTTAAAAACTGTGAAAATGACATTTCAATATAAACACAGAGACAAAACGGAGCCTCGGAACAAGATACAAAACGAAGATAGCTTAATAAATTAGCAGATAGAAAATGAGCGGGGCAACTAAGCCAAAGTATTTTTTGATTAGAAACAACAAAAATTTCACTAATTTGTCGCGAATGGTCTTCATTTCGAAGATTATATGCATTCGAAATCAATTGCCGAGTGGACACAAGTTGAGCCGAACACAAAATAAAGTCATAGAAAATTAAGCTACAATTTTCAGGCCTCATTTTTAGGAAACACACATAATAAATCTACTTTTGCATCATTTTAAACGGCGCAAGGATAGCCGATTATTGTGCAAATAGCTCCAACTCCACTTTCGAAATTTAAAAAAATATATATATGCATTTGAAATTCAATTTGAATTTCAAGAGCAATTTATGATTGGTGATTTTCGTTAAAATTTAACCCAATTAAGAAAACTGGATCAATGTGGCAACTAGTGTGGGGTGACAATAAACAGTAAGGGCGAAGTGGTGAAATCAAATTGGTAAATTTTCATTTCGGCTGTGAAATCTGAACATTAAAACCTACTTTCGAAACTAGAAGTCGATCACGTTTTTCGAGACCTAAACACTTTTTGTTGCTCGATAGCAGAAATTGTTTTCCTTTTTTAACAAAGATAATGAGCTGAACTTAAATAGATCTTGATATTCAATCAAATTTGGGCCTTATAAAGGCGTTCACTACGCTCGTTACCAAATAAACAATACTGTTAAATTAAACGGAAGATAAAACCCATTTCCCCATACTTTACAATTCAATTGGTTTTAAAAGGGATAAAAATTGAAATGAGCGAATTTCTGACTTTTTGTTGGCACCTAAGCCGACAAAACAAGCGGACAAAAAATAAGCCGACAATTTCTTTGAAACGAAAGATTTCACGTTTGAAAAAAAACAGTCCCTGGTCAGATTCGAACCAAGGACCTTTACCGTCTCAGGCGTACTCGTTACCTCCAGACTATGTGCGCAGGAGTCCCTTATAAATTTGAATTCGATATAAATTAAGATAGTAGTGATACTGTTAAAAGAACTGTTAGCCAGAAAAAAGTCTATATTCCGATTTGATAGGGCTTGTTAAACGCAAGAATAATCAAAGTAAGTCATTTCAGCTTTTATCGACACCGTTTTTTCTTTCTTTGCCGATGTTGGGTGGGTTCAGCTCATCCGTTTCCAGGCTAAGGAACTTCTGCGGGAGTAAAAGGGGAGGAATTTCTGTGGCAGTTAAAAATGTGGCAACTAGTGTGGGGTGACAATAAACAGTAAGGGCGAAGTGGTGAAACTTGGTTAACTACGCGGGCGAGTTAGGTCTTTAAAAGCCGACTGTAACCCGACCAAAGTTGGGAAAGCTTACAGCGGGTCGTTCTGGGAAGGGAATGTTCTGAGGGGTCCAGGCTAGGAGGTGGAATACAAATTACTTTTAAGGGAGGGGTTTCTGATAAGAACTTAGTTTGTATGGTTACTAGGTTTGTATGGTTTTGTTTTAAAAGTGGCTTGTAGTGGTTAAAAGTTAAAGTGTCATTTAATGGTGCAAAAGTGGATTCGTTGATTTCATTGGGCAGTACTTGATCACGTTGATCTTCTTCGATATTCGAATTCCAGATGGACGAAATGGTGTTGGCGTCCCCCAGTACCAGAGCATCACCAGGAACCAGGAGACCAGTGAGGGATGCATTAAAACCGGAAGGACAACTAGTTCGAGGGGGTATGTACTGATAGGAAGTTACTGATGGGAAGTTTCGACGAACTGGCTACCACAGCGATACTCATAGCCTCTAGCGTACTGTCGCTAAATGAAGGAAGTTTTTCGTACTGTATTGATTCGTTGATAGCAATGAGGAGGCCACCACCCTTTTTGTTTCTGTCTTAATGGATGAGTGAGTATAAAAGACCTCGGGAGGGGTTAAGAGTTGGTTTTTTTACTTGGTTTCCTGAAAAAGGCAATATGGATTTGATTGTGGGCTAGGATAGCGGCAATTTTGGCGGCTTTCCCAGATATTCCATTACAGATAAATTATTGTAGTCTTAGGATGCGTTTAATCAGCTGAGTGTTGCTCGAGGAGTTTGTGGGATTAGTCAGTAGTGGGTTCTGCCAATGAGTAGGTTGAGCTGGTTTATTTGGAAGGGTTGATGTTGTGTAATTGGGGGAAAATGTTACTGGGACAGTAGGAGTGGCTTTGGTTCCGGGGGGAAGTAAATGGCACGTAGAAGTACATAGGGGGCAGTAAAATTACGGTGATGGTCTTTTAAAAACTTTAGGCCATTGCATTTAAAATGTATCCAGCCACATATGTGACACCAGACACTTGCTTGGTTACGGTGTATGTACTGGCTGCAAAAGGAACAGTTATAGGGGCCAGGAATTGGATTAATTCCGGAGCGAAGGAGTAAAGTGAGGACTAGCAGACGGAGCATCCTGGCCAGCTTCAGACGCTCCATGGCCGAAAACCAGGAGACTTCTGATCTTCCCCCGACCCATGAGAGGGGGACCTTAACGCCATTTGCAACCTGGCGAGCAAGGCTGTCGGATCACGACTCGAAGACGGCGTCGTTTGAATCTTTATCGACACCGTAAACATTCATGATTTTTCTCAATAGTATAAAATAAGTGAGAGGCTCCAATCATATCACAATCGATTATTGGTCAGCTTGCTTCGAGGTACAGTAAAGCCCCAAATAAACTCAACAGACAATAGTTCAATCCAACTTTGAGTGTTAGGGATATGATCTAAAATTAGTGGGATAAAAAGTAGCTTCCAAAAGAAACATAGCAAAAAACACAAGCAAACAAAAAGCAAAAAACACAAAGCAAACAAAAATAGACAAAACAAAATTCCACTTTTCCAGCTGAAAATTCAGAAACTTCCAGACAAAAAATTAACGGAAAAACACCTCAATGTAAAAAGCGATTGAAGTGCCTTTTAAAGCTTAGAAATCGTTTCAACTGAAATAGATCCGCTGTGGAGCGAAGAAAAAGATTAATAACCAAGAAGTGAAGCAGCACCAGTTTCGACACCATACAAACAACTAGCGAGATAGCGAACAGCCAATACTTTGTCTAAACTCACATTTAGTTTGAGGAAAAACCTGTCAAAAACACATTCTCCGGCGTTACAATAAAGATTCAGAAAATTGATCCACCAGCAACTAACATGACGAGACAGAAACAATATTTCCTTAACTCTCTCCCTCGATCTCCCAAACATAAACCATTTCTCTAATTCAATCAAAGCTCAAAGCAGAGATCTATGTAGCTAAAACAACGACCAGCAACTAACTCGACAATACTTGAGTACACGCCCGTTGAGCCAAACATGCATTTGTCATGAAACTGGCAGGAAAGTATAAATATATATTTTTTTCAAATAACGCCACAAAGGTGAATAAGCCGAAACAATTTGTAAAGTACTTAAAAAGCTCAAATCACAAGAAAAGTCAGCACTGTGGCAAAAAAATAAGCAGAAAAGTGTTAAATTCAAACTCAGGACCTTCGCTGCCCTGGGCATGAACCTTATCTCGGGGCCAAATAACGCGTGCTAATTGAAAGCCCAATCAAGATTACGTGCTAAAATGCGTACTTGTAATTTTTCAAAAATACGTGCGCAGATAATCACTAACTCTCCTTTAGCACTCTTTTTGTAGAAGACCAAGTAAGGATCTGATAATCCAAAGAAATCTTTGTTGTCCAGTCCACGAGCAGAGAAGCAAATATTCCACGATTCCTAGAATTTATTTAAAAAGGGATTCATTATATCATGACTGAACACAAAAGCTTTGTTTTCAAATCAAAATAAAAAAAAAATTATCTCGAAATCAGAAAGCTTACGCGGCATTCTACTGTCTGCTGCGCTCTGATGAATATTTTTGCATGTGTGTTGCCTGAGTCTACAAGTAGCTTTCCCTGAGTTGCCAATCTACCCTGGACAACTTCAGCCAAGGACACTTCAAGGTGTCCCAGCTTATCATGGTGGTCCAAACTGCCCGATGAAGAGTCGCAGTCGTATACTTCAAATCTCAGCTGTTGAGAGCGCTCGAAGAAATACTTCATACGGAAAGGAGTAGTGAATGAAGGATTCAGATTATTCTCTACTCGTTCAGTGCGGCCCACCTGAGCGAGAAGAACCAAGATTTAGATTTTATGGTTTTGTTTGATCTACAGTTAAAGAGCTTTTGTCTGACCTCAACATATGGCGAGGATGAGCTTTCTCTCATCATTACCACACACACTGAAACATAAATTCTCATTATCTCACACTGAAACAGTCCTATTGTATAATTTTAAAGCAAAAATTGGTGGCCGGCTTCAATTCTGTCAGATTAGTTTCCTACGATGATTTTTGTTCCAACTTCTATCCTGTGATACTACTTAGGATTAACTAAACTACCAAAAGCAAGGTTGGAAACTTTTAAATTAACCCCACATAACCTTAAAAATGAACAAAATTTCGATTTTTTTTTTTAATTTTCTAAGAGTTGACATTCCATCGGCTCAGTTAATCAGCCAAAAACTGCTTAAAAAACTTTGGCACGAAAAAAAAATCGCATTGGAAGAACGCTGAGCGTTCAAGAGAAGGCGTATGCATATATAACTGTATCACCTACATTGCAACCAAGAGTGGACATTTCATATTTTTCGTTTTGGCTATTCCCTTAGAAAAGTCTACTACCCCATTACACTACCCTTGCTATTCACAAGGGCAAGCATCGACTAACTGACTTACTTGGATCTGATTTTGAGAACGTGTCCTTGTTCTTAAGGTCCCTAAAATCAAGTTGGTTTAAATTACCAAAGCATTTCTTTTAGTGACATAAATGCCTAGTGCAAACAATCTCCTGATCTTGTATGGCCACAGAAAAACGTTTGAAATACATAACAATGTAGCTTTCAACTCTTTTGTTGAAAACCAACTCCCAACTTTTTTTAGCATTGGACAAGTTAATACTTAAGGAAATTATTGATACACGGTGAACAATAAAACCTTCGGAAACAGAGGCTTCAAAAATTGGACCTCAAACTTTCTCCGATATTTACGGTGCTCAGAAGTTTATGCAGCCCACTTACTTGCAGGAAACGGTAAGATCCAGCAAATTGCTAAGCTCTGAATCGCTCGCCGCTGTCATTGCGCCCTGAAAATAAAACGTTCAACCAATTTACCAGACAAGGAGAAGTAACCAGAAGGTCGAAGGTATCATAGTAACCAAGGTTACAGTCAGGAGTCCTTTCATCAAATTATCTAGTCAAAAACCTAGGAATTCTCTAGATATGAAAGAGTAAAGTATAAAGTGGATAAAGTTAGAGAGTCAGATGCTTGGGAGTCAAGCCAACCAGATTGAGAAAACTAACACCTGCACAGAATAAATCAGACTTGAGATTGACTTAAAAAGACTGACCTGATATGACGCCAGGGATTTCGGGTACCCGACTTCTTGAGGAACCAGAACCAAATGCCTGTGCATGAACCGAGAACCCGACCCGATCGGTTCCAATCACCAGGAGCCGGAACCAACGTGGAAGACGGAACCGATCGATATCGACCTAACCTAGGTGAGTCTTAGATTGGACAACAAGCGTGGCAAAACAAGTTTCTTTCAAATATATATTTTGGACCGTCCAGTTCGCATTTTTATCAAAAATTATTAAGCATTACTAGGCATTACTACAAAATATGGAAATATTTTAATAACACATATTAAAAATCGAAATTTAAGAACCGACTTAGACCCGAAAAGTGACAGAATACGTCAAAATATTGGGGAATCGGAACTATTACGAACCGAAACCGGAACGTTATCCTACTATCAAGAACGGAACCGGAACCGAACCCCAAAAACCAGAACCGGAATCCCTGTTTGAGATCTATCATACACTTATTTACAGCTGCGCTTTTGTTCCCTTGGCGCTAAAAATGAAAATTTTCTTCGAAAATTTTTTTATCGTTAACAGTGCCGAGTACACAGGCAGCGTTCGCAACCTATATTGTGAGGGAGATTTTCTGCTCAAGAAAACAACTTGTACTGGTTTTTTCGGTACACGTGCTCTAGTTCTTACAAAGCTTATTCAGAAAAACTTCAGTGCTAAGGCCGGCGCCACCCTGAACTTCAAAAATTATAGGTTTAAAAAAGTATCCATCCGTAAATAAATTTGTATACTTGTCAGATTTGTTGAGTTTGAGCCTCGGCCCTGGCCGTTCCGGGGTTACAAACCGAGCCTGCGCGTATTCTACTAGGGGCTAGGAAGTCAACTACCGTTACATCACAAAGACAGTCTACCAACAGCCGTGGAACAAGCGTCTGGTCGCTTCTGATCTGTCCTGTGTAAGATTCGTGGCCCTAAAATAGCAGGAAGGTTAGTTTTTGCTATTTTCGTGGCCCTAAAAAAGCAGCAATGATTTTGCTATTTAAAGGCGTTCAATTTTACATTTCTAGAGATTTTCTCTGCCCTTTTGAGACTAGATCGGTTATGCCATCCATCTTTTTTCACATCTTTTCCGCAAACGCGTTTATGTTTTTTTTTACATTTTTTTGAACCAGAGCGGAGTTCACTTGCAAATCTAAGCTGCTGATTTGACCATTTCAATCAAAGAATTTTACTAGGTTTGACATTCAAGCATTGCAATGTAACATTCGTCTACTGCAGTCACACATGAGGCTTAAGAAAAATAGGCCCTATAACCATTGGCTCAAGAGTCAGGGACACTATCTCTTGTGTTTTTCTACCTCAAGAACGGTCGGAGCCAATTCGGTTTGCTTGCGACATGAGACTGGAACCCGTTACAGCTTAAAGGCCACTACCAAAATACCCCCCACTCTAGAAATAAAAACGTCCCCATACTTAGGTCTCGAAATACCCAAAATACATGAACGCCGTTAAAAACCGGGTCGGAACAATCCGCTTAGTTACTTTTTTTTGGACAGTGGAACTTTGATCCATTTCAGATGGATCAACCTAAAACTCGCCTTATCTCAACATAACTATCATAAAATACACTCGAGAAATTTAAATTGAGAACTCACATGTCGATGCACTTGAGTATGAGGAGTAATTAAAAGATAAGCAGCTCGAGAATCAAATAATATAACTAAATAAGTTTGATGCTAATTAGTTTTAACCACAGAAGTAAGTTCTGTCTCAAGAATCAAAGTTTCTGCATGAACCATCGGGACACTTGAGTTGTCCTCTCTTCCATTGAATGTTCACTCTGTTCCGTTCGAATAATCGTCCTTTGTCAAGTCTGTGTTCTATTCTCCTGTTTTCGGGATAAGACAGCTCTACTCTCTTATTATTTCGTATCGAGAAATTGCGAATAGCAATTTCCTGCCTTTTTCTTGAGTAGTTTCCCGCAATTGTTAATTCGGACGTTCTGATTTTTCACTTTTGCGTTTTCAGTTGGTTCGAGAAAACTGAGCATGACAGGCTCCATTCGAAATTTTTAAAATTAAAACTTCACTCCAAAATTACGTGTTTCTCAAGGTCAAACCTCCAGACATGACCGACTGGCACATACTCCCCGGACTCGAGATCGATGTCCCCATCGTGTGTTGTCATCTGCCAGTGAGTCCCAGAGAACCGAGTGTTGCTCAAGATACAGTGCCAGTGGTCATTTACAGAAGTTTGCCACGGACTTAAGTTTATCTACCTTCCAAAATTCACAACCACATAAAATTTTCACACTATCGCTAAACAGCAATCAAAATCTGCATACACCTGCACCCATGAATCCCCGCTTTTTAAGCTGGTAATTTTAAAACTTCTTTTGTCCTATTCAGTCAAGAAATTGTCATGCATCATTTTGATTTATATAATAGATCTATCATATTAATAACAATATCTTATTCGTCTAAAATTTCTTTTTCGTGAACCCAGATTTCATCCGAGTTCACCCTCGAGCCCCCTCCCTCTCAAGACTCAAGACTCTAGAATTTTTCCTTTCGAGCCACCGGCTCACCTCGTGTTCTTCGCCTTCGAGGTACCCGACACCGGTGTTCTTGACACTGTAATTTGTTCCAACAGTGCTTCTTCGTCATCGGAGCTGATCACAATTTCCTCCCAGGCCTTCAGCTGTTCATAGGATCGCATCCACTCCCTCTGCTCTTGCAACCTCTTCGACTGATTTGGTAAGCTCTTTACCTTCGACTCCCGGTTCAAACAGAAGGAATTGTGAAGACTCATGCTTATATTCTTCGCCAGGTCCTCCTCTAGTATTGATTCCCTCGCTCTAGAATTGTCTCTGGATACTCTGCCCACTCTTTTCCACCCCGTCGTGATCGCATTTCGATGGGTTAGCAGGGGTCTCTTGAAGGCATCTGGTCCTATCTCGGCTTGGAATTGTCGATATTCCTTTTGATGTTTCCTCATGTGGTCCTTTGTTACCACATATAACCAGGATGTTAATGTCGCACGAAACCAAGGAAAGAATCTCAGGCGGCTCCATATATGTCTGATCTCCACTGGTATGGCGAATACCTTGCATGCGGTCTCGAACAACTCAAGTCTCCCGCTGTAATCTATCGCATGAATCGACTCAGCTGTTGGCGTTCTCGATTCTCTATACTTCGCTACGTTTTCTTCAATCCATCGTAGAGCCAGCATCGTGCTCACCACCAAGATGGTCACCTTTTGTCGATGCTCCGGTAGTCCCAACGACTTAATCTCTTCTATGTCCCAGATCAGACAGAGATTGGCGCGTTCTGGGTACCACACTGTCTGCGTCAGACAGTGGCATGGACAATCCCCATGCGTGAGGTCGATGCTTCTAAGATTGCGTTCTCCCGAGGCTTCTAGGAGAGGCTCAAGTTCCATCATTTTCTCGTGTATCACGTCGACTTCTTCCGAGCTTGGAGTACCTATTGCGGGTTTCCCCACCACGTTTTGCCTTCCGTGATCACTTGTGTTTTCGTTCTCCAAGCCTAGAAGTTCTTCACCCCAGATTTCACTCAAGTCGTCTCTTTGTTCCTTCGGTACTGCTCCTCGGATCTTCCTCAACAGCTTGTGTGAATGATGTGACATCCGAGCTAGTCTCACGCACTTGGGCACTGAGAAGGCCTTGTCTATCAATACCCTCTGGCTGGACACCTCCACCATCGCCATGTGTAGTGGATAGTGGCTTCCACATAGGTTAGCCAACACTGACCCCACTAAGGATTTCGCATTCAGAGGCAATCCATAGGCTTCGCTCATGGGAAATCCCATCTCCGCCTCGAGTCCAATTTTCCAACTCTTGATGTGCTTCTGGTTCACTTGTAACACTCCGGGCCATGATTCCACGCTCAACGCGGTCACCAGGTGGTGTTCTGACTCTAGCCTCTCCAGTGACTGGAGACTACACATTCTTGAGAAAAATCCCAAGGCTGTCGCTAGGTTCACGGTGGTACTCGCGTAACAATCAGCCACTATCTGTATCTCGCTCTTCTCCCTTTCAGTGATATCCTCAAACCAGGTGATGAGGTCCTTTTTCTGGAAAGACTGTTTCCTGACGCATGATCGTCCATCACAAGTATGCTCGCCGTTGCCACATGTCGAATCAAGACAACTGCCCGGCTCCATCCTCTTCACCGACCCTGTTCCACTCGTCACCTCACTCGACTCTTTCATCTGAGGCAGGATCAGTCTATGTACTATACTCAAGGTCGCCAAATCCTCATCCTCTGTCGGTGCCAATCTCACTCGCTCAGTGACCTCCTCAATCAGGCTCGCATGGGGATGTGGACACCAGGAGGGTCTGAGTAATTTCCATACCACTCCCAGATTCGTGGTCAACACGCCATTCCCGTTGCCCATTTTTAGTTCCACTCTTCTACTTGAACGTGGCACACTTATCACTTCCGGCGTTCTCTCGAGAATCAGACCCAGGCTAGGTCTCTCTCTCTCCACAGTGTCTATCTCCATTATCTTCTCTGTCCAGAACTTCAGTAGCTCCGCCACCTCATAGTTTCTGTGGGCACCTCGGGCTTCCAAGTCCAAGAAGGGGTTGTACGCCATTCCCATCACTCCAGAAACATACTGGTACTCTCCCTTTTTGTTGAGCTTTAAGTACTCCCCTGACGAAGCCAGGTTGCGGTGAACGTCGTGTTTCTCCTCGAACTTCTTGTTGTAGAACCTTCGTATCTCATCTAGCTTCCTATGGCTCTC